CTCGTTATCATGTTATCATCTTTTTACTTTCTTGAGTGATTTCTTTTTAGATTCTCGTTATCATGTTATCATCTTTTTACTTTCTTGAGTGATTTGTTAGATTTCTCATTTTCATATTTTGTGCTTTGACCTGGTAGTTAATTTAGTAGCTACTTAATTAATTGATACTCTATTTGAGGTCTCTCTCTCGTTCTTTTGTTGGTCACTTCAAGAACAGTAATATAGAAATTTATGCCTCCTTGTGATCTCATTTGAATCATGCTTTTCTTTCAAAAAAATATCCATCAACCTCACTTATAAGAAAAAATAAGCTTGAAATTAAAACCGAGTAGATCTGTTCTATGCTACCCTCTAATTTGGTGGGCTTAATTTGTTTCAGTGTCTAATTTCTTCAATTTCTTCTTCTAAACTTGTAGGTACGCAATTCCTTTAATTATACTCTCTTTGAAGTATAAAATGAAAAAGTATACATTCCTCTTTACATCCAAAGAAATTAAAAAAATTCTTTTTAGATGTAATAGTCTGTTATAGATTTTTGTTGGTTGTTTTTGAAATTATTTATTATCTTAAAACTTTGAGCTATTATAAATTGAATTTAATTAAATTATTTTTTAATTGAAATTTTATTTAAATGATGTAAATTTTAATTCCCTTCTTCCATATTCTCATTTTCAAAATTTTTCAGTAAATTAATTGCTAGATTCCTTATTGTCATATTGTTTAATTTTACCTAGTTATTTTGTAGCTATTTTAATTGATAATTTTGTGAGGTATCTTTTCTTTAATTTTGTGAGGTAATATAGAAGTGTATATCTCGTAATGATCAATTTGAATCATGTTTTTTCTTTTAGAAAATACCCATCAATCAAACCTCTCTTTTATCAGAAAGATTAGGTTTGCAATTGCAGTCAAGAACAACTGTTGCACGCTACTTGTAATCTGCTTGGCCCAATTTGTTTGTGTCCAATGTCTTGAATATCTTCTTCTAGACCTGCAGGTACGCAAATCCTTTTGTCATATTCTTTTCAAGCATAAAATGAAAGTAAAATTATCTTTTCTGCATGGACTGCATAAAAAAAATATCTTTCAAGTATTAAAACTATCAGAATACCATTAATAAAACTTCATTCCATATTTTAATTCATTAATAACGTTTTAGTGGTACAGTTGAGGAACTTAACTCATGAAATAAAAAGGTATAAAATACAAAAACAAGTGCAGAAGGTACAAATAATTTGCGCATCTCAATCTGTAGACATAGGATCTCCTACTCTTAAGTTTCTAATTCATCAACTATTAAT